CGTGTTGTGTCCGCTGAATGCCACCGGAGGGCCCTCGCGGAACGTGGCTTCGGCCACACCTGCGGGGAGAGGGAGCGTTGGTGGTGGCCTTCCGGCACCCACCCACCCCAGCCCCAACTCGCGAGTGAAACCAGCTGCTGCCTCCACTCCCCCGCCCATCGAAGGGGGTGGGGTGGGGGCAGAGGGAAGCACAGCCGCCCATCATCTAACCCCAGGATCTGCGGCCCCACCTTTACTTCCACCCCCTCACAATTCCCTACCCCAGACCGTGCCCACCCTGTCCAACAGGGCGCAGACCAGGCAAATTTTCCAGACCTGGAAGAATCTGCCACCTTTCCCTCCTATGCAAGTTGCCTTGTCTCATCACTGAGGCTTACTCTCCGCTGCAGTAAGTCATCTTTTTTTAATGCAGGTTTTTAAAGTGTTGATCATGCATTTTAATGAAATGCAGTCAGCTTTTTAAAATGCTAATCATGTCTTTCTCCAACTTAAAACCCACCGGTGGCACCTTACTGCCCTGGGAAAAAGTCCTGAGCTGCCTGACCTAACATTCAAATCCCCTGGCAACCTATCCATCCCCTACCTGTACTTGTGTTTCAGTTGGTTTTATAAACCTTAGGGCCTTTGCACATGTTACTTACCCTCCCTGAAATGTCCTTCCTTATGCCACATGGGAGTCTTATTTGATCTTGAAAAGCTAGTGAATGCTCTCTTTCTCCAGAAAGCTTGTCCTGCTGGATGCAGTGGCCCAACTACACTGGGCTGGAACTGGTGGCATCCTGGTCTACTATGATCCTTAAGGTTAGGGGTGGGATCTAACCCAGCTTGGGTGTCCAGCACCCAACATGTGGGCTGCACAGGGCGAACACTCACAGACAAAGCCATCAGGGACCTCCTCGCAGGTGGCAGGTGGGAGGCAGGGTTGGCCAGGACACCACAGCTGCTGGGCACACGTGGGCCCTGTGAAGTTGGCAGGGCAGGTGCAGTGGAAGTCATTCCAGGTGACCAGGCAAGTCCCACCATTGAGACAGGGGTCAGGCTGCAGGAGAATCAGGACAGAGATTGGATCGATCCTGCGGTGGCATCACCCCACCATAACCATCACTGCAGTGGTTCTTAATTGAGCACCTACTACAGACACATTGCCTCCTCACAAAGAGAGAGGAAGTTACTGTCATCTCCATTTTACAGATGAGGAAACAGGCACAGAGAGGAAAAACTGCTTGCCTGAGTCACCCAACCAGTAAATAGAGGAGCCAGAGTTCACACCCAGGCTACTCCAATTCCAGGGCTAGTGCTTTGTTTATGAGCCAAGGGGGTCCCTGTCCCCTCCCTCCTCACAGTTCCTGCATAAAGGCTTAGGCAGCCGTTGCCTGGGTCAGGGTGTCTGTCTCAGACAAGGACTGGGAGGGAGGTCTGGGAACCACCAGAGGGCAAGAGCAGCTGGGCAAAGAGGAGATGAATGAGTCCTTCACTGCCACTCTAACAGTGGGACATAGGGCAGAGTGCTTTCCAAACTGGGAGAAAGACATGCTAACCCAGAGATGAAGGGACCCACCCCCTGCCAGAGCACTCACACTGCACGTGTCCTCAGAGACACAGCCCATGGTGAGGTTCCAGGACTGCCTGCTGCCCAGCTCCCCGGGCTGGCTTGAGTTCCCCAGTGGCAGTGGAAAGAAGGGGAGGTGGAGGCCATTGAGTCGTAGGTCCTGGAGGCAGCCTCGGAAGGGCCCACCCCAAGGCTGGGCGTCAGCAGAGAGGAGTCTCCCACCCACATGCACCTGCAGCCCCAAGCCCTGCAGCTGGTCAGATCCAAAGCTGAGCGTCACCAGGCGGCGGAGCCCATCGTCCCAGGGCCCAGGGAGCACCAGAGCAGGACTGCCCAGCACCTCGGCCCGGATCTGGCCCTCACTCAGGAACACTGTCAGAACAACTGCTGAGTCGTTGGTAAGGTGGAGCAGCAGGCCAGCAGGTTCCCGAGTGCGGAGGAGGAAGGACACAGTGAGGTTAGGGCCTGGCAGCTGGTGGACCAGGAAGGATGCAGTGCTCAGGGCGCCCCCCAAGCCAAATGTGGCAGCAGGAACCTCTGCAGGGAGAGAGGGCGCCAGGCATGAGGCCTGTGGGCTGGGGGAAGGCATGGCCTCTGCCCCGGGGCCCACCTGGCTCGCTTCTCACCATCAGCACATGTGGGACCACTATAGGGCCGGGGGCAGTCGCAGTGGAAGTGAGTCCACAGGTCCACACAGACCCCTTCGTGGGCACAGGGCAGAGGCTGACACTGCTCACGGCGCTTGCAGCCCAGGAGGGCATTCTCCCCAAGATCTTCAGGCAGCAGAAGGCGCCCATCCACGTGTACATCCTGGAGGCAGCCTGCAAAGGCCGCGCCGCCCAGCTGGACAGAGCGGAACCTGGCAGGTGGCGTGGCTGTGGAAGCTGTAGGAGCTGGGGCCACAGAACCGGAGGCCACGCAGAGCTGGGCAGGGCAGCCCTCGTGCCAAAGCTGAAGCTCCAGGACCCCTTGGTGGAGTGTCACCTCCACTCGGTGCCAGTGGTCATCATTCAGGGCCAGGTCTGGCAGCCTCAGAACTAGCACAGTGTTGCTGTGGCTCCAGAGTGTGGCCTGAAGTGTGGCTGCCGCCAGTGCCAGCTCCAGCTCCAGCTCCAAGCCATTATGGGTATCAGTGCAAGTGGCCAAGGCACCAGAAGGTAGCGTGGTGCGAAATCTCAATGCCAGACCCAGGGGGCCACCAGCTGCTACTGACACCCGCACAGGGTTCCCAGCCACCATGGAGAAGGTGGTATTCTGGCCACAAGAAGGTCCATGGGTACCAGGTGGGCAGTGGCAGGCATAACTGTGGACTCCAGACTCAAAGGTAGGGATGCAGGTAGCAGCCAGTGGGCAAGTGTGGCCCTGGCAGCCAGTGAGCTGCACAGAACAGTCATGCCCACCCCAGTCCTCTGGGCATCGGCAGGTGTAGCCTGCCACGATGTCATCACAGGTCCCTCCATGGAGGCAAGGCTCTGACAGGCATTCGTCCACATCTTCCTGACATTTCAGGCCTTCAGGAGAGACCAGGCCAAGGCTCAGCACTGAAGGCCAAAACCACAGTCTGGACCCAGACTTGCATGCCTCTTGGGACTGGGACCTCAGTACTTACAAACCAAACCAATTCCCAATTCCCAAAGGATTTTTCACGTCCCCTCAAGTCCCTGGAGGCTGGAACCCAAGATAACCCTCTCTCTGCTGTGTCTGGTGAGTCTTCATGCCCTGTGGATTCAGTCCCCTAAATACTCCCCAATCTGCCTTTTCTCCCACCCCACCCCACCTCTCCTGCCTCACCTGCTTGCTGGGCCACAGTCTAGCTTTCTCCAGTCCTCCTGACTTCAGAACCCCCTCTACCATCCATCTCCACAAGCAACCAGAGATCTGTTTCTTAAGATAACCTGGGCAGGGTCCTCTGCTGCTCAAGGTCCAGTCACTCACCATGCCATTCGAGATTCCTCACAGGATAGGCCCTACCAGGGATTCACATCTCAACCCTGCTCCCTACAAATCTTGAACTGCCTGTTCCTCCAAACTTTTCCTGGAAAGTCCTGCCTCTGGGGCTCTGACATATTGTTCCCTCTGCTTGAAATGCCTCATCCTCCCTTACCCTGCCTTTCAAACTCCTACTCATCCTACAAAACCCAAACTCAAAGGGCCAGTCCCCTCGGAGGCTTTCTCTGACTCCCAACCCCAAGCTACTTTGTCACTCCCAATTCCTTGCCCACTTCCAGGCATAGCAGCCCAGAACCCTGTATTGAAAGTATGTTTGCCCAGCTGAGATCTCCAGGGGCCTGAGTGTGGCACTGGTACCCAGCAAAGGGCCTAGCATGGCTTTTGTGGACAGAGTGATGAAAAGGAGGAGCAAGTGGAGGTGGGTATAAGCGTCTGTGGCACTCCAAGTAGCCCCCAGGCTCTAACCTCCCAGTCCCTCTGCCCTAGGGCCCCCTTACAGGCTGCGAAGGGGTCACTTCACCCTCCCTTCCAGGAGCTCCCATGCCAGGTGCTCTGGCCCCAGCTTGGGTCAAGAGGCTACAGCCCAACCCCAGCTCATCCAGAGCCTCCACAAAATAACCAAGGCCAGCCCTGCTTCTATATCCCAGCTGGAGGAACGAAGCTAGGCCCAAAGAAGCCACCAGGATTTGAATCTTGGCCCCTTCAGGCCACAAGCAGCCATCTCCTTCTGAGGACAGCTAGCTCCACCTCCCCTGCCCAAAGCCCCAGTTCTCCATACCTGCCAGGAGCCACAGCCCCCCCAGAAAGGTCCACAGAGCCTGCAGTCCCATTGCATTTCCCCAAATGTCCGAGAGCGCTGGGCGGGCGCCGAGGCTGGGGAGCAGAGCTCCCAGCCTGGTCTGGCTGCCTCCTTCAGACCCTGCGCAGGAATGCCAGGCACTGGCCTCCCCCACGCCCAGCACGAACCAAAGGGAGGGTGGGGGTGGACAGTGGCAAGGAGCCCAGCGCCACAGCCGGGGTTCCCCCTCCTGGTCCCTGACCTTAGAGATCTGACCTTGCTGTCATCCATCAGCTGAGCTCAGCTCCTGCTGACGCTGAGGAACTGGAGGGGACAACACTCCCTCTCTAAAGCCCCCATGGCCTCATCTATAAGATGGGGACTTAAACCCCCACCTCATGGGGCTGTGATGAGGGGAACAAATGTGCAGAGAATGCTCTTCAAAGGCAGGGAGTGCTTGGTGGACCCACTGTGTGCCAGACACCCACGAGGCAAGCCCCCGGGAGCAGATAGGCTTTCAGGGCGCCCAGGAGAGTTGGCCAGCCAAGGGAGGAGACACTAAGCCCCAGTGTCTTTGAGTGGGTGAAGGTAGAGGGGATGGTGGTGATCACCACCACCTTCCCCTGGGCGGGGGAGCCTGCGCCCAGGAGCCCTGCCAGGGCGAGGAGGCAGTGTGCCTAAGCAGGAATGTGGGCGGTGTGGGGGAGGTGTCACTGGCATTCCAGAGGGGCAGGGACACAGTGAGTGAGGAGTTCCTTGGGTTCACCAGTGTCAGTGTGGGAGGGTGTCTATGTGTCTGTGCATCTGCTGCACCAAAGGTAGGGCGAGGCTTTCTGCACCCCAACTCCCGCCCAACAGGCCCCAGCGCCTCAAAGGTGAAGCTCACCCTTCTCCAGACAGTGGTTCCAGCTCTCAGTAATCCCCACCCCCTTCTCTGTCCTGGCCCAAGTGCCTCCGTGCTTCCTGCAGCCCCTGGGCCTCTGCCCAGCCCTTTGATGCCAGGCGTGTAGGGTTCTCTCTGCCCATCGCTCCACACATTCTCTCCGACAGCCTCCGCCACCCAGGGCCCCAGCTGTCCCAATTACACCCCTGACCCCGTCTCTTACTCCAGCCCAGGTCACACCCCTGGGCACCGGACCCCACCCAGGCTCCTCCTGGGGTGCTCCATAGACACTCAGACTCAGCGTGGACAAGGCTGACCTCACTGTCCTCCACCCAGTGTCACCCAGGACAGAAATGTAGCCGGCATCCCTGACACCTTCACTTACACCTGGATAACCCTCAGGGCCTGCAGAGTGTCCTTCCTAAACATTTCTCAGTCTGCTTGGTTCCCTCCATTCCCACCTCGAAAGCCCAGGTCCCAGCTCAATCCCAGCTTGGCTGCCACCTGGGCCACTGTACCCACCTCCTCCCTAATTTCCTCACCCCCCATCAATCCAGCCTCCACGCATCAGCCAGAGGAACCGTCTCACCCCAGACCCACGGACTCTGACCTTGCCCTGCCCCACTGCCCACCTGTGTAGCCGTTTGGACAGTGACACTGAAAGCCATTGGGCAGGTCCTGGCAGCGGCCCCCCCCGAGGCACGGCCCTGAGGCGCACTCGTCCACGTCCAGGCTGCAGTCGTCCCCTGAAAGAGGCCCAGCTGTGGTTCCCGCCTGTGCCCGCAGAGCCAGACTGGACCTGGAGGGGCCCATTTTATAGCTAGAGAGACTGAGGCCCAAAGAGAGGCTCGTGAACCCAGCCCGGCACCCCTCCTGGTGCATGTGGACAGCGGCGGACCCTCTGCCCTGCGTGGGGGCAGGGAGCTCACCCTCGAAGCCTGGGGGGCAGCGGCACAGGAAGCCCGCCGCGTGGCGGAAGCTGAAGGCGCCGGGGAAGGCGGCCTGGGCGCCCCCATAGAGGGCGGGGTCGGAGCGCTGCAGGCACCGGCCCCCGTGCAGGCAGGGGCCCGACGCACACTCGTCCTCGTCGACCTCGCACCGCTCGCCGCTGTAGCCTGGGGCGCACGCAGAAGGACGTCAGGTCACGCGGAGCCTTGCGGCAGCACCCCACCCGCACCCCACCCCCACGCCACAGGCGCCAGGCCATCCCAGGTCAGAATAGGGTCACGCACGCGCCAGGCCGTGCGCCAAGGCTTCAGGGGCATCACGCCTTTCCTGTCCTCACAACACTGGGAGAGGTGCTGTGATTGGCCCTTTTGCACATCAGCTCGGATAAGTTGCAACCACATGCGCGCACTCTGCTTGGTTTACTGAGGGCGCGCGTGCACAGGTGCGGGAAACCCC